GCTTTATGCCTTCCCACCGGTCGCGATGCTACCTCAGGTCATCAGTCGGATCAGGGAGGAGAAATGTGCAGTGCTCCTGGTAGCCCCACTCTGGAAGAACCAGACGTGGTTTCCAGAACTGATGCAGATGATGCAATCTGCCCCATGGCCGATTCCACTGAGGCTAGACCTCCTCAGGCAGGCCAACGGGATGATCCTCCATCCCCGCCCCGATCTGTGGGCCCTCCATGCGTGGCCCCTCAACGGGTTCCCGGGAACCTCCCCAGTGGAGTGTTGAGAACCATCACTGAGGCGCGAGCGCCCTCTACGAGGCGCTTATATGCCCAGAAATGGAAGGTGTTCAGTGACTGGTGTAAATCCAGGAACCTGAACCCTGAGACATGCGAAGTACCGAGTGTGCTCGTTTTCTTACAAGAGCTGTTGGAGGCAGGCCGCACCCCCTCCACGCTCAAAGTATATGTGGCTGCCATAGCGGCATCACACGACCCTGTAGAAGGACGCACACTAGGGAAAAACTACCTAGTTGTTCGTTTCCTGAGGGGCGCCAGGAGGATAAATCCCCCACGCCCCCCCTCGGTGCCGATCTGGGACCTGGCCACGGTCCTGGACGCACTCAAGCGTGCCCCGTTCGAACCCCTCCGAACTGTGCACCTTAAACAGCTCTCGCTCAAAACTGCTCTCTTGCTGGCTCTCGCCTCGGTCAAGAGAGTGGGCGACCTGCACGCGCTGTCATCAAGCGCTGCCTGCCTGGAGTTTGGACCTAACGACAGCAGGGTTGTCCTCAGGCCAAAACACGGGTATATTCCTAAGGTGCTCTCTACACCTTTCAGACTACAGGTGATATCTTTGGCCGCGCTATCGTCTCCAGCAGACGAAAGCGACGCTAATTTACTCTGCCCGGTCAGGGCGCTCAGAGTATATTTGGAACGTTCTGCCCTGTTCAGACAGACAGAGCAATTGTTCGTATGCTTTGGCGGCCGCACCAAAGGTCTCGCTGTTTCAAAGCAAAGAACATCGCGCTGGATAGTTGATGCTATAGCGCTGGCTTATGAAGCCAAGGGCCTTCAGTGCCCCTTGGGCATCAGAGCTCACTCTACGAGAGGCATGGCCTCCTCGAGGGCGTGGTCGAGTGGGATACCCATTCAAGATATTTGTGCGGCAGCAGGCTGGGCCTCACCGTCAACATTTATCAGGTTTTATAACCTACAGGTCCCCTCATTGCACTCAAACATACTGTCGGTCTAACTATGCATAGGCTGGGGTGTGTACATGCTGAGCATTGTCTCCTCCCTCATAGAATCCATCTCTGACTGATGTAGAGAATCTTTCATGCATGACAGTACATAAAAATGTGCTTGTGTGTTTCTCTGGACGCCCATTGGGCCGTTCCACGTTGTCCTTCGGCTGGCACGCACGGCGTTTTACATGGCGTTCCCATAGCGTAAGCTATTACGCAATAGGAGCAACCTCTCGAAAGGGAACGACTCGGTTACTAACGTAACCTCGGTTCCCTGAGAGGAGGGAACGAGTATTGCGTAATCTGCCGTGCTTGTGCTTGGTCAGTTTGCTTCAGTCGATTGAACCTAAAGAACTTAGACGACGGGGCGCCCAATATATAGCCCTTGGCCACGCCCATCTTGGCGGGCTCTGACCCGCGTGGGCGCGAAGCACGCTCATTGGAAGCGGGTTCAGAGTCGCCCCGTCATAGGTTCGTGCAGTTGCCGCAGCACAGCCAATGACCGAGCTGCCTCGCTCATTGCTGTATGCTGTGCAGCTGCAATGCGTTTTACATAAAGACTTCAATATTTCTCGAGAAAAGGAGTTTTACCATAGCGTAAGCTATTACGCAATACTCGTTTAGTTGAAAACGTTGTCATATTTCCAGCCCCGCATAATACTGTGAATTCCAAAAGGACAGGAATTTGATCTGCAGTTCAAACACATACATTTAAAATTTGGGCCTACATTTTTTTTTCCCGGAATATAGTATCAACATTTATTTCATAGCAGTATACATTTACTATCTACCAACAATTGCCTAATTTGTTGACAATGGGAAAGGTTGTATAAGAATTCTATAAGAAAAAAAATGATCTACATGTCTTTTTCATAAACTTGATTTAAATTCCCACAAAGCCTAAACTGCCGTTTTGCACGTTAAATGCACTACAACCCATATACACATCTGGCTAGTTAAACACTGGAACACAGCTGAATTACAATGAGATCAAATCTGAAGTTCATGGCTATTCCTGAATGGTTAATTAGTGAGTGTATCTAGTTAAATGTCACTCAAAACTCACCCAGGCTGTCGTCTCTCTTGAGCACTGACAGTTTCTAATAAGGTCGACAAAAAAGGCCTTGTTTTTTTTCCTATGCAAACATGACAATGCTGTAGAACAGTATGTGCTGACGACGATTTGTACAAAGTAGTCCTCAGCTCCTCAGTACAAGGAGTCTACTGGTACTTATGCCATAATTAAGCTTCAAGGAGGAAGATGTCATTTAGATGTCAGGAACTGATTAGCTGAATAACACTATGTTAGCAGTCAGCATGACCTATGTTTGCCCCATGCCATCATTCAGAATGAGAATCAGAAGCAGTATGCAACACAAATGTGTGAAATACTATATCCCACAATGCAATGTGTTTGAATTGATCTTACATTCCAGTGTGAAAGTTGATTTCATGAAGATCTGTTAAAATCATCAGAATGAAATTAGCGATGGACTGACATGGATTTGTAATGGGCGATGTCAATATCTTAGAGCAGGGGTGGATGATATAAAGCTGATGCATGTAATAGCACACTATTTGACTTATTTAACTTGATGAGAAAAAAAAATCTGTCAAATAAAAAGAATGATACTTTAGATAGCAACTTCTTTGTGTATCCTTGTAGTGTTTTTCTCAAATTGTTAAAAACCTGCTGGCGTTCTCTCCACTGTCAAAATAAAAGTACCGCTTCCAACACTTATCGGCCAAACAGAAAAACTTATTTCCCAATGTCATTCATTTAAAAAATGTCAAATATCTGCCGATACATCAGCCTTGCCAATATATTGGTTGACAATTAAAGGTGCAGTAAGCCATTTCTGAGAAACGCAGTTGAAAATTGAGATCAACACCCTAACATACAATTTTGTGAATATTTGCAAAATGTCTGTTGTGTGTGTGTGTGTGTGTGTGTGTGTGTGTGTGTGTGTGTGTGTGTGTGTGTGTGTTTGCTGAAGAAAAAAAAGACGTTACGATCAGACAAGTTGAGTTTTTTTTTCTTCAGTAGAACAGTACAGAAGGTTTTTAGCTGAAACCGTGGTTCTTGGTGATTCATATAATGCAAGTCAATGGTTACCGTTACTTTAAGATTTAAAAAACATACAGGCAAAACAAAATTAATATGATCTCAATCGGGAAGATTGACTTTTCAGATTCCCAATGTTTGAGCTCCCGCGTATACGTCATAATGCAACAGGAAGCTTGCGCTCCAGACTGTCGTGAACTCGTTCAGGACCGTTAGCCAAGGCTGGGGATGACAGGTAAAAATGTTGTCAATTATGCTCAGTTTCTTGCACAGAACGATCGTTTTACTTCATAAGACCTCAATGTATCGTCAGGAGCCACGGGTATTAATTTTGTTTTGCCATTGACTTGCATTGGGCCACGGTTTCAGCTCAAAATCTTCTGTACTGTTCTACTGAAGAATAAAAGCCACTACATCTTGGCCTGAGTATATTAACAGCAAATTTTATTTTCTGGGTGAACAATCCCTGTAATACGTACTGCACACTTACTATTTTTAAATAACAGTAGGTAGTACATACTGCACATTATTAAGTAGTTTTTTGATTAATTTGTCTTGCTAGTTAACAAACATTAGGCCTACAGTAAATAAGAAAATACATAGATTTGCTTGAGATTTTCTGTCATTATGAAACAAAATAAAACTGTTTCACATCATGGCTTTCATTTGATCAAACACTTTCTCACTATCACATGATTTTAACTGCAGACTTTCACTACATCACGGATCATGTTTGTATTGATCCCCTATTCTTAGGCATCAATGGTTCCCACGGGCCTTAAAAAATAACACTAGATAACACTAGATAATCAATTACTAGATTAAATTGCATCTTGGCCCACACAAATCTGTTTGGATAAAAGAAAGAGGACTAAAGACAGTTTTTCCCTACAGTTCTGAAAAATGCACAAAAATACTATTTACATTTTTTTCATGAAATATATGTTTTCAAAATGTCTGTAATTCTCAATGACTCACCCCTTCTTGGGTTTAAATTAGAGACAAAACTGCAAATAGAGTTCAAGATTATCATCAGACTGTTGCTCCACCATAACAGTGATTCCCCTAATAGAGAAAAGTGACTGAAAAAGAAGTAATTTGCGCTAATAACCACTTACACTGTAGCACCGATTGCGTCAATTCTAAAGTGCAGCGAAACTGGATGAAATCATGGGATCTCAACTCTGGACCTTGAGGTCTACTTTCCTGCAGAGACCATTTTTAAACATACCCGAACAAGCTTTCAAGGTCTTCGGGATTAGCTGAACGTTATACTAGGCAGGTGAGTTTGATCAAAGTTCAAGGATCAAGGCAGGAAAGTGGACCTCAAGGGCCAGAGTTGAGACCCACTGCACTAAATGGTGTTTGAGTAGCAATAAGTCCCTGCATTCAAATACTTGCATAGAGTATGTTTTGGGCTTATGGGTAGCCAGCCCAGAGTGAAATCTCATTGGTTCCACATAACAGTAATTTAAACATCCGATACATTTTGAGTGGCTTTGTGTTGTGTTGTGTTGGCACAGCATTTCCGTTTTCAGTGTAGACAGCCAAATTACTTATCCCTGGTAATGTGTCACGTCACACCATGTTACACTAATTATAAATGTGATTATATCACAAAATCATGATTGGTTAATTTCTGAACAGCAGTTGTGGCACCATCATGACATCTTCTCAAGAATGAAAGCCATGACTCACCTGTAGGTAGTGTGAAGACCGGAATGATGGTTTAAAGTCCTGATGCATCATGGGCTTCTCCAGGTTAAGGGAGGACTTTCGATAGGCCTCTTTGGCCTGACTGACGGTAAGTGTTGACCAGGAACTCCTCTTCATGAACTTTCCCTCAGGTGCCATGGATTCGCAGGCCGAACACTTGACGTCGTTGTTGCTTTTGGAGGTTTTGAGCGAGTGGTCTCCAAAGTGACCGTGCATGGATTCTGGGAAACTGTGACCGACGTGTTCGTGATGGTGGCGGCTCAAAGCGCTGGCTGTGCGGTAGGTGCTGTCGCTGTCTAGGTTGTCATCCGAGCTCCACCAGCCCCCCGTTCCCGACCGTTGCCTGCGCTCCTTGCTTTTACTGCGCTTGCTGCCATGCTTGGATGAGTGATGATTGCCGTGGTGATGGTGATGGCTTCCCCCACCTCCACTGTCACCTTTAGTGCCATTCATCTTGGACGATCCCTCCAGTGAGTGGGACTTGGTGAAGAGCTTCTGGACAGAGTGCACCAGGTGTCGTATACGACCGGGGCTCTCGCTGCGCTGTTCCCCTCCAGTGCCGGCGGATGTGCGTTGGTACTGCAGCGTATGGAAGCCGTCGCGATGAAGCGGAATCTGCTTTTCGAACTGGTCCAGCAGGTTTGCGGGGATGCGGTTGCTCTTGCTGCTGCCGTGGTAAGAGGCAGATGTTGCAGCAGCGGTGGCGGCAGATGTGGCTGAGGTGGTGATGACTGCACAGTCTTCCCGGGCAGCTGGGTCGTAGTACTGTGAACTGTAGTGCATTCTGGGAAAGGTGCTGCTGGAAAGGTGGTCGGCAGGGGCAGTGGAAGGTAGCACCATGGGGGACATGATCATGCAATCGGAGTGAATGGAGCTGCGCGGGGAAAGACGGTGATGGAAGTCCATGACGCAGGTCTCCGTGGGGCTGAGCAGGTAGTGGTGGCGCAGATCGGACACATGCATGCCGTGCAGGTCATGGAGATGCTCGCACTCCGCCAGTCCACACGGGGGCAGTGTGGGAATATGGTGCGGCGCGCGACCACCTGATAAGCCCTTCATGTTCCTGGGTGGAGTGAGGCTACTATCCACATTGAAATTTCGGGATGGCGACCAGGGGGAACACTGCTGGTCTGGAATAAAGAGAAGGACATTCAATATTAGAAACTATACTAGATTGTTGAATTCGATCAAACACTCAAATATCTGTCCTGGCCAACACACTCTCATATCTTATTGACGCTTTTCCACTGCATGGTACGGTTCGGTGCGGCTCACTTTTTGGAGCTTTTCCACTGCATGGTACGGTTCGGTACAGCTCGCTTAAATGGTACCACCTCGGTTGAGGTGTGCCGTACCAATACTAAAATGTTACGTGTAAACACTGCAGATCACTGATTGGTCATTGGATTTGGGAAACAACACACCAAACCCGCTGGCAGCAACAGCCACCGCAGTATCATTTGTTCACACAACTTTTTTAAACGACTTGCTTTAAACGACCGTCACACCCAACTTGAACAAAGAAATGGCTGAATCGTGGTCAGTAGACAAGGTGCAGACGTTCCTCTCGTTGGTAGCTCGAGGAGCGAGGAGTAGGTGGCGCCACTATGACGATCAGTCTATAATCCCACCCACTTTGAAGCGGTACTAAACTGCAGTGGAAAAGCAAACCGAGCCAAAGCGAGCCGTACCATGCCAAGCCGAGCCGTACCACGCAGTGGAAAAGCGTAGCAAGCCGAGCTGTGCCGTACCATGCAGAGGAAAAGCGAAATGAGCCGAGCCGCATCGTACCGAGCACATTTATCCTGAATAACAAAAAATCCTCTTTTTTTTTTTGGGAGGATTCTATTACTTTACCCAAGGCTTAACATTTGGGGATAAAATAAAAATTCTGTCATTTGGTTGTAAACCGTAAAATTTCTGAAATTCATAAAAGTAATCTAATGCATTATACTTCTTGTGAATATAGAGTCATGCAGTTGCTTTGAATATGGAGACATTTTTATTTTATTTTAAACCACTGATATTAAATGCCACTGTTTCTTGTGCATCTACATTTATCTGCCCATTCTTTTTATTACTGTAACATGGCAAATTTGTTTTAATATAAATAAAACTTAAAACTCCTTAAAACTGCAGTGAACCAAAGACAGTCTCAAAAACGCAGTTTGAAACCGCTGGTGTTTCTTACGTCACAAACTACCTTGTAACCAATCACGTCAACGTGTGGGCGGGCTTTAGCATATCATTAACTATGCTGAGAACCAGGGAAGTCTCAAGAGAAGACAGGTTATCCCGGTATATTTTTACGTTGATAACAAAAATCTGGTAAATTTAGCATAGCGGGTGAATTATGTATATGATGTATATAACAATGTTATGATGAACTATACCTTTCTCCACTGACTTTCTACGATGTTCAAAGCGTTAAGGATGCTGATTTTTAGAAGAATTTCCAAACATGTACTTCCATGACTGCATGCACCATCCAGGCCACTGGATTTGAAATGAATGGGAATGTCTCCATGTATTATACACCTCCTTACTTTTTACTACCATGAAACCATGTCCAACAGAATTGTCCCATTAAAACACACACAAAAAAAATCCATTAGTGATAGTATTTAACTTTCTTTCAGAGAGACTCCCTTTGTTCTGACTAAAGGGATCCAGAAGGAAACTTCTCTCTCTTTATATTCAATTATGTTTTGATTGTGAGTTAAACTAATGTTGACAGTAAAGGAATCATCTTTCAATTCTTTCAAAAGAATGATGATCACAAGAGAGAAAAGGGTTTGCATCTTTCTGATGTAACATTTGGAAAACCTGATTGCCTGAATTAAATTCAACAAGCATAAAACACTGAAAAGCGATGCCTTGAACTCCCAGGAAAGCCCAAATCTGTAGTTTAGTTACAAGTATGGATCCTTTTATCCACAGCACATGCATTAAAGAGACAAGGTTAAATGTCTTGCTCAAGGGCACAGTGGTGATAACTTACAAACATGGATTGGGGCTCAAACCTGCAATCTTCTGTCTAACAGTCCAATTTTAACCACTACACCACACCTTCAGGTCTGTTGCAGTCTCTTTACAAAGAGAAATGTTGGGGTCGGTGGTTCGTTTTGGAGTCTTCTAACGCCATATGACACCTTTGTGTGAGGAACCGACATCACACTGTAAATCAATTAATTGGTTTGAGTAAGGTAAACTTGAATTAAATTAGTTTAATCAAATGAACTTTTATGAGTATTTAGAACTTTCTTTTTCTTTTGAGTTCACAAAACTGAGACATTTTAAGTAATCAGAATTTTTTCATTGTTTTGAGTTTAAGAACTTGTTTCTTTTAATTTAGACAAACACATTTAACTAAAACTGGACTGGGATTTCTATTTCCCAGCATGCTTTGCAATGACACTCGAAAGGGAGAGTAAATGCTAAAATGAAGTGATGCACCATGTTTTTTGGTAAATGGACTGCATTTATATAGCGCTTTCACAGACCCAATGGCCACCAAAGCGCTTTACAATTTTCCTCACATTCACCCATTCACTCAGTCACTCATACACCGACGGCGGTGTCTGCCATGCAAGGCGCCATCCAGCTCGTTGGGAGCAGCTGGGGTTAGGTGTCTTGCTCATGGACACCTCGACACTTGGTCAGGTGGAAGGGTTATGATTGAACCACCAACCTTCCGGTTTGTAGACAACCTACATGAACCACTGAGCAAGTTTTTTGTGCAAGATTAATGTTAAGTGGGAGATTTAGCAGTGTGTAATGTTTTGCTGTGCTAATTCAGAAGGGTTTTTGGGCGAGTGAAGCATGAGCTTGGTTTGAGAACAGATTACTGTTAAATGTTATATATTACTGTACTCTTTCAGCAATTGATAGGCTATGCTAATGCTATCAAAGCATTATGATACACATTAGCAAGTTAGCAGTTATTGAATTAGCAAGTTAAAGCTAGCCAAGTTTCCAAATATTTTAAGTTAAGAGCAATTAAAATGTATGAGTGCAGCATAATTTGCAAGTTCTACTTACTTAAACATTGCATTTCTTAACTTAAAATATTTTATGTAATTGATTGCCTCAGTTTTTGGGGGTTTATCAACTTATTCGGGTTTACAGTGGCAGGATGCACTTAAAATGTATACTTTGGACCAACTTAAAAAAATACTAATTATACTAAATTACACTAAAAATAGGCTACTAATACATTTAAAAGAAATTCTATGGGGAGTGTTATTTGCTTTTAGAGAAACTGAACAAAACCGGAAAAGATGATTTTCGATTAGACCAATAACAAAATGCACTCTAAAATGACAGTCGTTTCAATTTGTTCAGTGTGTAAGAGAAACACAAACAGACAGTCTAATGTAGCATCATCCAAACCTTTTGTTCACATTATAACAGCTAATACCAGTAAACGACAAATTAAAGGTAAAAAAGAAGAAGAAGATACCGATGTGTCAGAGGAAAAATCAGAGCAGGAAACACCTTTAGCGCTAAATCTCCTCTTACATAATGCCTAGGGACGATAATCCATTGCAGTATATCAAAGAGAATGAGATATAACACAGAGTTGTCATGGTAACCATTGCTGAGGACTCTGACCATGAAAAGCAGATTTTAGAGTTTGTTACACAAGGATGACAGTAATTCACAGCAGGACTGCTGTTCACAGCCTTTACTGTATTTCAATAAGGAAGAAGCATTTATTATTCCAGTTTTTACATCTGTATATTTCAAATCTGAATGCAAGCCATCTGTGTTATAAAGAGCTCATAAGGCCAATGAGTTTAGGAGGCAGTAAATGAATCTTGATGGAAAACTATTATTGAGCTTTCAAGCCAAGTTAGCCCACAAGTTTGAGGAAAAACTATCCCAGTTAGGTTTATGCAACCTTCCCAACATTTCCCGTTTCTCTATTTTTTTCAACACATTGCTACAGGAAAAGAACATGTGGTTGCTGTGGCAACTAAATGAGTCAAAAAATGAGAAGCCTGTATTATTCTCGCATGTAGCATCTCGCCTGACACACAATTACACAAAATGGCACGTTCAGGGTCACTCACTACCAGAGCAACGAGGGTTATTTTGATTTGTGTGATCCAAGAAAAAAAAGATGTCACAGATTTCCTTACAGAGACACAAATACAGGCTGTTATGTAATCTACAGTTCTCTAGGTAAAGTTATTTCTTTCTATGAATCATTGCTGTATACAATATATATATATATATATATATATATATATATACACACATGTATATATGTGTGTCTGTGTCTTATACTCATAAAGCCTACATTTATTTGATCAAAAATAAAGAAAAAAAACAGTAATATTGTAAAACATTATTACAATTTAAAATAATGGATTTCTATTTTAATATACTTTTAAAATATAATTTATTTATGTGATGCAAAGCTGTATTTTCAGCATCATTACTCAAGTCTTCAGTGTCACACGATCCTCCAGAAATCATTCTGATATGCTGATTTATTATCAATGTTGGAAAAGTTGTGCTGCTGCTTAATATTTGTTATAACCTGTCATACTTTTTCCAGGATTCATTGATGAATAAAAAGTAAAAAAAATAAAAAAGAACAGCCTTTATTTAAAATAGAAATCTTTTGTAACAATATACACTTACACTACCATTCAAAAGTTTGGGATCAGTATTTTTTTTTCTTTTTAAAAAAAATGTATACTTTTATTCAATTGATTAATATTGTATCAATTGATAAAAAGTGATAGTGAAGATTTATATTGTTAGAAAAGATTTCTATTTTGAATAAATGCTGTTCTTTTGAACTTTTTATTTATCAATGAATCCTGAAAAAAGTGTCACTGTCAGAGTTATAGAGTTTTGGTTCAGTCCTCGTTGTTTTCTGTGTGTCTCTCTTGCCTAATCAGTTGCTATAGTCGTTGATTGAGTTTCCCAGGTGTTGTGTGTTACTTTAATGATCTCTGTGTGTATTCAAGCACTCAGTTTACTCTGTTCTGTGTCGTTTATGTAACGTGGTTGTGTTTTCCCCTGAGCTTATCCTGTGTTCATCTGTGGATTATATTAAAGACTTTTTCCTTTTGGGCCATTCGTCTTCGTGAGCTACTTCACTGTGGCAGTCACGGGTTCCAAAAAAATATTAAGCAGCAGCACAACTGTTTCCAACATAATAAATCAGAATATTAGAATGATTTCTGAAGGATCATGTGACACTGAAGACTGGAGTAATGGCTGATGGATATTCCGCTTGCATCGCAGAAATAAATTATATTTTAAAGCAATTTATTTATTTATAATTTTCCATCATTTTAAATTGTAATAATATTTCAGAATATTACTGTTTTTTTCTGTATTTTTTATAAATGCAGGCTTGAAGAGCGTAAGAGACTTCTTTCAAAAAGATTCAAAATAGTAATGCTTCCAAACTTTTGTCCGGTACTGTGTGTATATATACATATATATATATATATATATATATATATATATTATATTAACTCTTCTAAAAAATTTATTTTTGTATAGTAACTACGCACAAACCATAAAATGATTCACCATACACACCAAACTACACACGAAAATGACAAATGTAAAACACTATAAGTAAATTGTAACAAATGGTTAACTAGTTAAGGCCACCTAATATACAGTAAAATTTCAGAGAGTAACTTCAACTCTAATGTAAGCTAACTCTCAAACCTTCACTGAATAATGGAATAATAACTTAAGCTCCTTATCTACATCCTCATAATTGACTTGCTATTATATAAAAAATATCGAGTTATAATCAATAAAGTGCCAGAGCTAAAACAGAGCATATTTTCAGTACTCTTTTATATGTCTTCCTTAAAATACAACACAATCATGTGTTCAAAAAGTACAGCAAAACCATAATGACCCAGGAGGACACTACAATTCACCCAAGCACCCAACAGATGAGATCACATTTACTTAAAGTCCCCCTGTAGTTAATAATTTTATCCCTTAAAACTCATCTTTGATCATCCAAATTAAATTTTTAAACGTTTTTTTCCTTGAAACATTTTCTTCATGCCTTAAAATAGCTTAACACTCTACACCCTTGCCTTATTTAGTATGCGCGGTTCTATGAATATGCAAATGAGCCCCGCCTCCACTCACTCACTCAGCTCAGAGATCCGCTCGTTGACGATCACACGTTGATCTGATTAGTTACAAGGTAGTCTGTGACGTCAGAAACACCAGCGATTTCAAACCGTGATTTTGAGACTGTCTTTGGTTCACTGCAGTTTTAAAGAGAAAATACTCAGCAATGGTGTTGACTGATGAATTTGCACACGGTTTGTCTTAAAGCATATTAGAAACACCACATAGACACATAAACAACATTAAAAGCTTGATTTTCACCACAAGGGGACTTTAAAGGAAAGCTGCACTTGTATCTTCTCCAGGGCTAGTTGCATAACTCAGCATTATGAATTCTTTCCACCTCCACACCAAATCTCCAGTGAAACAAAAGATCACTAGCATAGAGAGCAGAGCAACAGGCATCAATCCACCGGCACGTGAGCTAAAAATATTGCATCAGGGAGGGGTTCGCCTTCCTGTAGGGGGTCACTGAGGTCCCTCGAAATAATATGCCATTAGTGTAAATACTGGTGTTGCACCATGCTATTGGCAAAAAGCTAATGGAGTAAGAGCAGGAGAGCTCGGCTCAGTAACTAACACTCGAATAAGACAGACAAGAGGTTTCAGGCGCTAAGCTCCTCTTCAGCGAAGTGAAGGTAATCTAACCCAACACCTAAAAGAGAAAAGGCAGCTGGATTTCTCTTCCATTCAGACAAATCAATGTCTGAGAGAGAATTAAGTTTACAGTCATTTGTTTGTGTTTGGTCCCAATAAACTGTTATATAAAGCTGAAGGAAGCGAACGCCAGAGAAAAGAGTTGCGCTGGGTGCCTGAGCAAGAGCTCACCTTTGATTCAGTCTCCCACTCACGCCCACCGCTGCCCTCGCACACACAGGACGGTGGCGATCTGATGGCGGGACCCATCGGCCCCTGCTAGCGAATGCCTCACCCAATAAACAGCTCCTCACTTCATGACAGAGGGAGAGGAGAGAAAAGAAAAAGGTCGAAATGAAAATCACAAAAATGACCGAATGAAAAAACTGATCTAAGATCGGCAGATTATAAAGGGATTCACTGTCATTTAATGTCCCCCTGTAGTCAATCATTTTATCGCTTAAAGACCCACTCCGATGAAAATAATGTTTTTCTAGGTGTTAACATGTTCTTGTGGCATTTTTCTGATGTTAGAGGACATATCTTGAGAGAAATCAGCTCAAAGTTGTATTTCTGAGTATTTCTACATTCAAAAGGCTGTGAATCAGTAGCAGACGCTAAAATGCCGGCTAAAATAGACTGGAGTTGTGACGTAGTAACTCCACTGGGCGTCTCCACACGCGACGTCTTGGAGTGAAATAATGATCGGTGATCGGTGATAACTTTGATTAACTTCGGATAATAATAATTAACGTGTATATAATACTGTTGCCCCACCGGTATTGGGGGTGTAAGCTAGCGGGAGAGACAGAGCTCTCAGCAACGGGCAGGGGGAGGGGCGTCTCCGTGCCAACGGCTCCGCCCACAACGCAGAGGCGAATTGCTAATGAGCAACTGCCGCTCTGCTGAAGCGAATTCCCAGAAAACGGCACAGGTTTTGTGATTTTGGCTAAAAATGGCATAATCATAATTTAAAGACCACTGGGAATGTTTAAAAATAGCTCAAAATATGATCGGAGTGGGACTTTAAAACTCACCTTTGATCACCAAAATTACATATTTAAACGTTTTTTTCTTGAAAAAAAAAAATGTTATGCCTTAAAATAGCTTGAATGTAACTCTACACCCTTGCCTCATTTAGTATTTGCGGTTCTATGAATATGCAAATTAGCCCCGCCTCCACTCACTCATACCAGCTCAGAGATCCACTCGTTGACGATCACACGTTGATCTGATTGGTTACAAGGTAGTTTGTGACGTCGGAAACACCAGCGATTTCAAACCGTGTTTTTGAGACTGTCTTTGGTTCACTGCAGTTTTAAAGAAAAAATACTCAGCAATGGTGTTGATTGACTTATGAATTTGCACATGGTTTGTCTAAAAGCATATTAAAAACAACGCATTGACATATAAACAACATTGAAAACAGAATATACTTTATACTATGCAAATCCAATCTGAATAAACAACCATTTTTCGGTTGTACCAACCTTTAGGAAAATAGTTTTAGAAAAATTGCTCAACTGTCCAAATGGATGGCCATTATCCAACATGAACTGAACACTTCCCACTATATTACTCAGATATAATGCTGTGTCAACAATAATTTGATAGAAAATATCAATAAAACTCTATTTAGAAATCATAAGGAATAATAAACTTCAAGAGCTATAGATGTACACAAGGGCCAAAACTGACATTGTCGAGTGCCAAATGTAAGTAAAATTTGGTTTCGACAAGTAAATAAAAAGGAGTTATTGGCCATAAAATGGATTATATTGCAATAGTGATAATCTAAAAAATCTGTCCATTTATTCTGATGGTCCACTTTTGACATTCTACTAACTATAAGTAACTTTGCAACTACATGCCAACTAAATCTCATTATAGTATTAGTAGATTCTAGTAGACGGTTAGACTAGGGTTTGGGTTAGTAATAAGTTGACAAGTAGTTGTAAAGTTACTAATAGTTAGTAGAATGTCTAAAGTGGACCATCGAAATGAAGTGTTACCAGGTCTTCTTACAATTTTTACCTCAGTGGAAAGTTTACCATAATAAGTTTACCTTATATAGGATGCCTAGCTTTTTCAACTGTGACGGAATTGACAGACAGTAAGCAAAGTAAGTTAAAACAATAGAAAATGATAAAACATAGGCTGTGTATATTTAACTTTGCTAAACTCAGAGCAGGAGAAATATGGAAAGAAGACTTTCATATAAAGACTGATTTAATTTCTTGGTGGTGGAAGTAATGTTTATTTAAAAGATCCATATTTATATTTCTGTTTTTCTTAAGATTTACTGTTTGTGTGTTTTAATATGAAGTATCAAGTTATGGTCTGGAGGGGTGTGTAAGTGAATATCGTAATTTTGATCAAATAAAGGGAATATCAAAAGTAATTGTACATTTGTGGTCAGAACATTCTAGTGATTATCTCCAAATTATATGAAAATGTTGATACTTTTCTAACTAATGGCAGGTAAAGTAATCTTCCATTTCTTAAAAATTTGTGAAACATATTTTTTAATGCAAATGATGCAAGAGAAAGAGTGACTGGTATAAAGAGATAATAAAAATAAAGAAGAAAATAAATGGACAATTCAACTTCCTCATCAAAACTATAGCCGAACATGCCATTAAATCACCATGGAAACGACTTCATAGTTTCATAAAGAAAAATGTTGAACAGTTACTTAAATACAACTAAAATAATTATGAGAGAAAAAAAAAGGAGTGAATGCCTCCTCTCTGATGCAGGGCAAACCCTTTTGATTAAGCATCTGATGAAAATACAGTATAACATATTAATACTAGATTTAAGTCATCTGGGACTTTAGGGTATAACAGCCACTGTCACTAGACCAAATTAACCTTTTGAATATGTAAAAATTGTATTCATAGTTTAGTAAACAAATAAGGAACACCTTATTTTAATAGAAACCTGAGAGAAATATAATGCTAACTGAAGATGTTTCTGTCTTTTCTTGCAGGGTTCTGTCAGTCCATCAGACAAGTAATACTGAGTATTTAAGGCAAATTGTTTCTATGGGAACTATAAAATCTATTTTTTTTCTCTACTAAATTGACACTCAGTTTCTCTTAAAGAAGACTGAGAACAACATATTCTGAGGATCACATGTGAACTTAATTCGATTTAGAAAAAAACCATATATATTACATAATATTTTTGAGGATTTAAGGTCATCTTTAGCTTTTTTCTAAAGTCGAGGGTGTCATTTCTGCATCACTATAGCGTCACCAAACGGGTATTTGTCAAAAAACACTCCTTCCACCTGCCATTAGTCGGCCAAACAGATAATACTGCCCTAAATTTACACATTTTGTCAATCTAATGTTGCTGTGTCGGGCTGGTCAGGATGCTTACGTAACAGGTCCTACTCGTACCCGCTCCCAGCGGGATTCAAACCAGCGTCACTGGCATGGGAGCCATGACGTTAACAAGGACGCTGAAGACCAAAGCCTCTAGAGTCAGCTGCTAGTGCACCTCTTAAGGCCAGGGGAGTGGGGTTAACCTGCACAGCTCTTTACTAGCACTACTCACCCTCATAAATCTCACTCCTATCCGGGTCACGGCACCAACGTAAGTGATCCTCCCATAACTTCTAGCATCAGTCGCTAGTGCGACTCTTGAGGCCAGGGGAGTGGGGTTTACCTGCACAGCTCTTTACTAGCACTACTCACCCTCATAAATCTCACTCCTATCCGGGTCACGGCACCAACGTAAGTGATCCTCCCATAACTTCTAGCATCAGCTGCTAGTGCGACTCTTGAGGACAGGGGAGTGGGGTTTACCTGCACAGCTCTTTACTAGCACTACTCACCCTCATAAATCTCACTCCTATCTGGGTCACGGCACCAACGTAAGTGGTCCTCCCATAACTTCTAGCATCAGTCGCTAGTGTGACTCCTGAGGACAGGGGAGTGGGGTTTACCTGCACAGCTCTTTACTAGCACTACTCACCCTCATAAATCTCACTCCTATCCGATTCACGGCACCAACGTTAGTGGTCCTCCCATAACTTCTAGCATCAGTCACTAGTGCGATTCTTGAGGACAGGGGAGTGGGGTTTACCTGCACAGCTCAATACTAACTGGCCTCTAGGGCTGGGTATTGACACAAATTTCATGATTCGATTAGATTTCGATTCACAAGCTTGTGATTCGATCCAATTTCAATTCGATATCGATTATTTTGGATATATATCAGCTACAGTTATGGCAAATTTTCTCAAGAAAAAAACCCTCTTAACTAATGATGTAAACTATACATGGGAGTTGGTGCTACAATATTGAAGATTAAAATGAACTGATTTGTATACAAACACCTAAATTACACTCTAAGGGATCTGTTAACACCACACCGTTTTCAACTAAAAAACATTCCTTTTAGCCATTCCTTTACATGACAACGGAAAACGTGAATCTGTGAAAACGATGACGTCATGCACATGCGTATTACGTGTTCAGTCTATAGTGTTTCATCGCCATCTAATGGCCTGGCAAGGAAAACTCAAGCGAAAATATTTGAGATGGTGAAAAATGTTCAACTGGTGGAAGTAACATTGAGTGAAATTATGTAAGTTCTTGCAGTTGTGTACTTACAATATCCCAAAAGTCTCCAAAGATGTTTTTATTTCAGAGAAATTCCAATTTTAAATAAGTGGCCGCCCCGTAAAAAAAATGTCGCCTGTCAATGACGCAATATCCGCGTTATCCTCGGTTTCCGTTTATACTGCCATAGCCATGACGTAACCATGGTGACAGACGTGGACAGCTGCGTAGTGCGTAACGTTTAGCAGCACGCAGATCTTGTTTCTTTCAAACATACACCATGGCAAGCAGACTTTGGGACAAACAAGGAGAACTAAAATGAGGATCAATATCACCGTGGCGTTTTTGAGATGCCGAGACTCCGAGAGCTCCACGTCCGCGACTAACTTGGACTTGACAGAGCTTCACGAGTCACGACTTGACAGCTTTATTAGACAGGTGAGCAAATGTTCATAAAACAAATCAATGTTATATAACGTTAGCTCAACATGATGAAATGTTAGAATATGGTCAGTTATTCTAATGTTGATCTAGCTTACTGCTAGTTTCGTATAGAAAACGAACTAACACGTAGTATAACATTATAACTTTCAACACACATTAAAATGACGTTTAGTGTGATAGTGTAGCGTTAGACCAAGTGAAGCAGCGCTGCGTTACCTCACAAGTTTAATTTGTCTAATAAACTGACCTGTGTGAGTAATCCAGCACTTGCGGGTAGTTCGGTAGAATTAAATGT